GCTTCTGAGTTTTCCAAGAAAATTACCGAAAAAGGAAATTTTTTAAGGAAATTTAGGATCAGCGGAAAGAGTTTTATTTTTGAATATTGTAAGTATTTTTTTTTTATATAACTTATTTGTATATTTTTAGAATATATATATATATACATTTTTTGTAGTATCTTAAAATTAGTTTTTTGAAAAATAATAAGCAATAATATCTTGTTAGCAATAATGTTTAAATTAAAAAATATTTACTCAAAATTTATTAAGAACAAAATATTGTTTTCAAAGTTGTATTTAAAAATTAAGGTTTTTTAAAAATTGAAAGTTATTAATAAGTAAGTTATTATAAGATTACTTTTCTTTATTTAGTATAATAGAGTTTAATATTTTAATATATGTAAATTAAACAATTTGATTTTCTATAGGTTTTATCAATATTTAAATTGTAATAATAACCTTCATTATAATTATTAGAAAAATCACAAAATACTTGCTTGACTTGAATAATGTAAAATTGAAATAATAATATTAATCACACTTATTTTTTGAATGTGACATTATAAGAATACATCTTATTTATATTAAACATTTGATTTTTATTATTATCAAGATCTCATTTAAAAAAATAAAATTAATCACAATTTTATTCATACAATCCATTACTATACACTATATATACGAAACTATTCATGCTCCACGAATTTCCATTCCCGAAACTATAACCCTATATGCCACGAATCTCCATTCAACTACAATATTCCCTCTCCCTCCACGAAATTATATACTGTATGATATTCATCTGTAAATAATAAATAAATAAATCAATAATAAAAATCTAAATATATCACGTGAAACTATCTACATGCTATGCGAAAAAAATTTACCCACGAAACTATCTACATGCCTTGCGCAATAATCTGACCTCCCGCAAAACTATCTACATGCTATGCGCAAAAATCTAACCTTCCGCAAAGCTATTTATATGCTATGCGCAATAAAATCTACCCCACAAAACTATCTACATGATATGCGTAAAAAATTTACCCCGCGAAACTATCTATATAAAAAATCTAACCTTCCGCGAAACTATCTACATGCTATGTAAGAGTTTGGAATAGTTAGACGCCCTTAATTCTCGCTTATCATACATTTTTCCAAATTTCCAACTCTATAGGCGTTCCACGAGTTCTTATCTGTTTTTTGCAAAATTTCAATCAACGTGATAATCTTTTTTAGTCACACTAATAAAAATCCCCAATGCACTGGAAACTGGGGTTTTGGTAAATCCAGAGAAAGCAGATGAAAACGTGTGCCACAAGAAGGCTCATGACAAGAAAAAAGCTTTTTCGAAGTTTTTTTTTTTCAGCACTGACTTCTTTCAATAATTTAAAGAGAAAATTTTTTTTATTATTTTCATATTCGTTTGTTGATTATACATTTTAATAAATTGTTTCATTTAATAATTTACGATATATACGATACGATGTGATTTTTATTTTAAAAGAAAAAAAAAAAAAAAGAAAAAAAAAAGATGATTAATCCGCAAATTAACCATCAGAAAAAAAAAAATTTAAAAAAAAAAAAAAAACAATAATAAAATAAAAAAGGATGAATTAAAAGACGAACATGGGAAGTTTAGTGGGAATATGGGACAATATGGGAAGTTGGTGCGTGGAAATTAGGCACGAATATGGGAATTTTTAAGGGGACCGTTTTTTCTTATGAAAAAAAAAGAAATAATTCAATAAGCAGGTGTCGTAGATAGACTACGAGCCCAAGCTACGCTACCACGTGCTGAGCAATGAAGATGAAGAACACAGGATATACCCGGGGCAAGTTTTTAAGCCAACTCCTCCTCCAGAACCAGCATAGAAAAAACTCAACTATCAACAATCTTCATCGCCTGCTTAAGAAGGATTTCTTGGGAAGAAATTTTTATCTATATAATCAAAGGTAATATTATACGATGCCCTCTACTTTTTTTCACTTACCTTTCGCTCAGCTTTTACATATACAGTATTTGCGTATTATGAATAAGTATGCGAATACAGGTAGAAGAACAAAGTATTAAGTTAAGAATTAAGCGAAAGCTGCGACGGATATAACGGAGAGGATAACTTACGGATGCTGACAAGACTGCGACAGAGGATATAACGAAGAGGATAGTTTATGGTTGCTGGCAAGACTGTGACGGAGGATATAACGGAGAGGATAGTTTACGGATGCTGGTAGAAGTGTAAAAAAACTGACTCGTTATGGATGTGTATTTATAATAAAATATTATATGTGTTTATCATGTTTATCAGTTAAATAAATTACGTAATGAGAAGAAACGCGTCAGAAAACGCGTTCAAAAAATAAAACGATGTTATGATATGACGTAAATGTGATGCGTGATTTTTAGATAACGATATACCAGATCCAAATATTCGTTGTTGTTATCAGAGAAATCTCCATCATCAGATGCGATGACTTTTCGAGTCTAAAGAACTACCGGATGCGCTTACCTGTGTCTCGACCTCATAAACATCAGAAGAATTAAAGATATGAGTCTTATTATTAGGTGAGACTTCAGTATTTGAAATAGAGATACTTACCAAGGTATTAGATAAAGATGTCATCCTCACTTATTATATCTTCCGAATTAAACGTATGAGACAATTTAGTAGTTGATATATCATCTTTGTTAGAAGGTTCATTACGTGCGCGTTACTTTCGTAACGCCGATCACTTTTTGGCATTTATTCATATTAGTATGCTTTTGGGGGAAACTATTTATAATATCTTGAATTTGAGCATCAGTTAAACATGAAATAGGGTATGCGCTATAGGTAATTAGTTTGATCTTATCTATCCCCATCCCTGTAAATAGTGTGTAATTTTACATCAGTAATGTCGGGAAGAAGCAATTTAATTTCGTTATACACCAATGTTCTAGCTGATTGTTCATCGATATTTTTCATAGCTTTATATTATAGTCTTCAACTTGACTCATATGCTTTATAGAAACAATACTAGCATAGATTCTCCTTTTGCCCGACCTTTATTGCTACATTAAATAAATCAGTTAAACCAGTTATATTTTGTGTCGTAATTTTATTAGATCCCATTAAAATCATCTCAAGGGGGAATTCGGGTATTTGAATATCAAATGAGCTGTTTTTTATATCATCGTCTTTGATAAAAACTGATAGCTCATGTCTCAAACCTTGCTCCACTTTCTGATTGTATGGAATTTTTGTCCTTTCATACATAGTGATCGAGGATTACTAATGTCAGAAACAATGTTTGCTGAATGTTCCATACTTGTTTTATTCTGTTTTTCTTTTTCTATCCTGAGTGAGTTGTGAACGTTTGATGCTTCAAACGTTGAGCTTTCCTCTTCAGAAGATGTTGGGGATATTACTTGAGGCTCTTGAATTCCAAGTTTTTTTTCTCTATTTCTTTCTCTCATCAGATTACTAAACATTTTCTTGTTTTCCGAATTTAGGAAAAAATCAATCTCCTTTTCTTCTAATGATTTTGGATATCTTTGACGAGGCTGAGATAAAGTGACAGTTGTCATCTTGGGCATCGATTCTTCAGGAATAAAATCATCTATTTCCTTATCTGATACTTTTGGTATCCCTTCCATTGTCTTGGTGTCGGCATTATTTTGTTGGTCCACTACGGAGTTAGATAAATCACTGAATTATCTACAGATAACCGCGCCTCTGGTATCGCTTCCTTACCATTCTGTGTTTGACTATCCACAACAAAGGAAGCCTGTTCCAATATCGCAAGTCTAGCTTCAAGCTTTGTATTCTTTAGTTCTAGTTCCTTGACTCTGGCGTTACGCATTGTATTCTCCTCAATAATCTGCTTCAGCTTCGCATTCTCAGCCTCAACCTCAGAAAACCTCTTTTGAATTTTTTGCTGTATAAGTATCGAATTATACTCCATCATGTAATGGATCCTTGACCTTCAATCCACGTCGGGCACGCGACAAGTTTAAAGAATAAAATAATCGATTATTAACTTTTTTTCGCTCATACATTTTAAGGCTAACACTGCGATAAAGTCTTACCTATATGCCCTCTTTTACAATCAGTGGATGCTGGTGATTCGGATTTGACTCGCTTTCAGCCTGTCGAGTCTGATTCGGTTATTCAAATATCATGCATTGTTGAGATCTTGTCGAGGAATCGAAGAAACAACTGATCCGCGTGAATCTCTTTCTATTCTATCCTCACGATCTTTATATACCGGGGCGAAGTCTTTTAAATTATGAAAGAACGAACTATGGATGAAATATACAATATCACACTCCCATACACGCATAAAATCCAATATCCATTATTTAAATAAATCCTGTTCATTTCAATATTTAGAAAATTCGTAATTATACAGTTAATAGTATTAAATTTTTCGATACACGCACTCATACCACACAAGCAAAATAAATTCAAAGCCTAAGCTAGGCATTAAGTCAACTTCGGATAAATAATATATTATTAACAATTAGATGTTGATGCTTTATCTTCCATGGGATTATAAGTTGTGTTGAAGTCATCATAATAATTGTATGAATACCTTTTTCTGACTTTTCTTGGATCAGCTTCTTGATTCTGTTTTGACATTCCCGACCTTTCTTTTTGTCATTAGGTATATATATTTGGACTATACAGCTCTTATTTATTTTGACCCAGAAATTTGCTGCTATTATATATTCTTTCCATCTTTTTATTGATGCGATTCTTTTTCTGGATTTTTTCCTATCAGAAGGTTAACTCTCGCTCCATACGATGTTTCTTCTTTCACGCTGGAGAAGTGTTTATAGAGTGATTAATCTTTTTATACTTATTTGCTATTAGTGACTGTGAGCTTTATTTTACTTAGTTCTAATATTTATATTTCCTATTGTTCTATCTTTTCTAATAAGTTTTATTAATTTTATTATATCTATTATTCCTCTTATATTATATGTTTTTATATAGATTACTCTTTTTTTTTTTTTTTTTTTTTGAGTACCCGTAGCCAGGCTAGATCATCAGTTTATTAATCAAATGATGACAAAAGTACATTTTCATTTGAGCAGCATAATACATACTACAGCTAAACTATTATTCTAATCTAACTAACTCGTCG